CAAAAGGTTCACCATCACTGGGCTAGAACTTCTAATATGACCGCACCAGTTCAAACCCCAGCAGCAATGGTTAAATTTGTTTCCCCACATTCTCAGTGTTAGGAAACTTTTTAATTTTTCCCAAACTTATGAGAGTGAAATTAAGTCTCATTGGTATTTTATTTTTAATTTCCCTGATTACTGGTGAGCTGGAGCATCATCTCCTGTAATCATTAGTCATTTAGTTCCCTTTACTATGAATTGATCATTTTGGCCCACTTTTCTATTGGGTGATTTTGGGGTTTTTTCTTTCATTTTTTAAAAACATCTTTTGGGTAAAATCCTTTTCCTGTTGTATATGTTACACATATAATGTCCTAGTCTGCTGTTTGTTGTTTAGCATTACTATTATCTCACTTGCCATTCAGAAGCTTACATTTTGACATAGTCAAAGTGATCAATCTTTTCCTCTATAATTTATGCTGTTTTGAATATTGCTTAAAAAGGTTTTCCTTACCAGAATATCATAAAAACATTCCCTATATTTTCTTCTGGTTGTTACATTTTTTGTTTTTAGTAATAATGAAATTTCTTTTTGTTTTTCACTTAAGATGGAGATCTAATTTCCTTTCTGTAGAAAGCCCAACTACCTTTTATTGAGTAGTTAATTCTCTCCTCTCTGATCAGTAATACTAGCTCTATTAGATAAGTGGCCACATGTCTTTAGAATTTCTATGTTCAACTGATCTTTTCATGGCTCAGCCAAAGCTACCATTTTACTTCTTTAGCTTTTTAATAAACTTTGATACCTGATAGAATAAGCCTTCCTGTCTTATTAATCTTTTTCAGAATTGCATTGGATATTTTCGGGCTTTTATTCTACCACATGAATTTTATAATAACTTTACTAGCGGCCCAGTGCACAAAATTCATACACAGGTAGGGTTCCTAGACCTGGCTGGCAACCAGGGCTGATCAGGGCCTTCCAGCTGCCAACTGGGGCCTTCCTTCATTCTGTGACGCCCCCTGGTGGTCAGCACATGTCATAGTGAGTGATCGAACTCCCAGTCTCCCGGTTGAACTCCCAAGGGAACAATTTGCATATTAGGCTTTTATATATATAGGTAAGTTTTACAGAAAACCACGTTGGGGTTTTTATTGGAATTACATCAAAGTTTTAGATTTATTTGGTGGAAGATTTCCATCTTTACCATATTCAAACTTCCTATTGGTGAGCACAGTTCACCTTTTTTTAAGTAATTTGTTATGTTTTTCAATGCAGTTTTGAAATTTTCTAAGCAACAAATTTCACAAAGTGCTTGTTTTATTTACTCTTAAGCATCAAATTATTTTTATTGCTAGATTTTTTTCAATGTACTTGTATAATACTAACTCAGAAATTTGTTTTTGAAGGTAGTTTTATATGTTCTATTTTGTTGAATTATTTTATTAATTCTATAGGACTTCCTGGATTTTCTAAATAGATAATAATACCTGAATAAATCATGATAATTTTCTCTCTTTCTTTTTGATCTATGTATCTCCATTGTTTTATTGACTAGAAGCTTGAATACAGTATTAATAATAGCTCTATTATTATATATAATATCTTACAATACAAAGTATATATTATATATAGACATATAATAATATAATTATATTATTATAATATAGCATTTTTAATTTGGTAGTGGATATCTTTGTCTTGTTCTTGACTTTAATAGGAAAACTTTTAAGCACATGATATATAAAATTTATTATAATAGGTTATAGATTTTTTGTTAGAAGTCTTTTTTCAAGCCAAGGATGTTCGAGTTTCTGTCTGTTTATATTTTGTTAAGAATTGTCTTTTAAAATCACACGAGTATTAAATTTTCTTGAATGCTTGGTCTGCAGCTACTGCAGTGACCATGTGGATTGTGCCTCTAAATCTGCTAATTGCATTGATAGATTTTCTTAAGTAAAACTTTTGTGCATTCCTGAGATAAACATGCTTGGTCTTCTATTTATTTATTTGTTTGTTTGTTTGTTTGTAATCCTCATCCAAAGATATTTTTCCATTGATTTTCAGAGAGGGTGGAAGAGAGAGGGAAAGACAGAGAGAAATGTTGATGTGAGAGAAACACATCAATTGGTTGCCTCCCGCAGAAGCCTGGCCAAAGCCCAGGCCGGGGAGGAGCCTGCAACTGAGGTACGTGCCCTTGACCAGAATCAAACCCAGGACACTTCTTTCCACAGGCTGATGCTCTATTCATTGAGCCATACTAATGAGGGCTTGGTCTTCTTTTTAAAATGTATTCTGCTAAACTGGGTTTGTTCATATTTTATTTGGATTTTTTACATCTATGTTTATAAGAGAGGATGGCATATATTTTAATACTGTCTTTGACTGGTTTGGAAATCAAATTATACTGTCTCATAAAATAAATTAAATGTCTCTATTTGTCTCCTCTTTGGAACAGTTTGTGTAAGGCAGGAATGATCTGTCCCTTGACCACGGTAAAACTCAGCTGTAAATCTTTCTGGCTCTACTTCCTTCTTAGGCTGGACATTTTGACTACTGAGCAAGCTCTTGTTTTGTTATTACCATATTAGAAGTAGGTAACACTTGTACGGTGCCCCTGTTCCAATCTAAGTATTTCAACAACTAATTCTCATTCATCAATACCTATTCCTGAAAGTGGACCCAGCAATTGTATTTTTTAAATCTTTTAAATGTCTACTCCAACTCCCCTTCTCATATGACAGATTGGGTAACCGAGTCTCGGAGAGGGGATCCCACAGCTAACAGTGTTGGAACCAGAACTCAAATGAAGAGTTTCCTAATCCCATGTTGGCTTCTGGGAGCCAATTTGACATTGGCTCTTCTTCCACTCTCTGCTACACCACACCTGCAAAGGGGAGGGCTCTTGCTCGCACACAGTCCTTGTCTGCCCCCTGGTGGGCGAAAATGGCAACGAATCCTACCTTGAGCAAAACTTTAAGTTACAAAGCTCCACAGAGTCCTTCCTGTGTGGGTTAATCCTAAAGCCGGCTGCTGGTGATGGTGCTTTACAGCATCCTTGTACTTGGAAGGAGAAAACAACACCATCGACACAAAAACCCAACCACTCTGGATTGGTTTAGTACCTTGCCTTCACTTGCCAACTTTAAATATCAGGTACCCTCTCACCTAAGAAACTCAGGGAGAAAAATTTAAAATCTTACTGTACCTTTTATTCCAGTCGTATGGTTCATCTCACAGGTTTTGGAGTCCAACACACCAAGGACAAATTCTAACTCCACCATTCATTAATTTTACAGTTGGTGAGCCACATAGCATCTTTAATCCTCAGTTTTATCATCTGTAAAATGGTCGTTATGGTGCCTTATTCACACAGTTGTGAAGGTTAAATGTGAATGTAAAGAGCTTGGTTTGGCACTGTGCCTGGGACCCCCCTCACACCCACACTGATTATCATTACTCTTACTCTTACTGAAATAGACCATGTTACCAGGCCTGAAAAACACACTCAAATGGGGAAAGAATGTTTTCTGTGCCATCGTATATCTCTGCAGAGGGGCTTGCTCTCCTCGCCCCTCAGAAAGAACCTTCGGCTATCCACACCCCCTTCACTACAGCCTTCCACCTAATCTCTCTCTGCGAGAAAAATCTAGAACTCTGATTTTTTCCTACATAACAATAGATTTTGCATGTGGTCATATTCTCATTCCTGGGGAATCTCCTATGAAGGATGAGATGAGAAGATGAGGAGAAACCAGCAATGGAGACTGGGAATGTGTGACTGATTTAGTGGGAGAGAAACTAGGAGAGTGCCTTATCCTAAAGGCCACACAGCGTCTCGAGACGAAGGAAACCATCAGTTGGGCCAAATGCTCTAACAGGTTAGGCAAGACCAGGACCTAGAATTGACGATCAAATTCCACAAAGTGGAGGTCATTAGTAACCTTGGCAAAAAAAAATTTTAAATCCTCACCCAAGGATATATTTTTACTGATTTTTAGAGAGAAAGAGAAACATCGATTGGCTGCCTCTCGTATGGGCCCTGACCAGGGATCAAACCCGCAACCTAAGTGCCCTGATTGGGAATTGAACTCGAAACCCTTTGGTGCATGGGACAATGCTCCAACTGACCCACCCAGCCAGGGCAACAAAAGCAATTTTGATATGGTGGTTGTGAAATTCTGATTGGAGTAAAGAATTTAATACATTGAGGATAGACTATTTTTTTGAGAAGTTTTTCTAAAAAGAGGAGCAAAGAACTGGGATGGTAAGTGGAGGGGGAAATAGTTTATTAAGCTGGAAGAAATAGCTCAGCTAGTGTGGCTCAGTGGTTGAGCATTGACCTATGAACCAGAAGGTCACGGTTCAATTCCCAGTCAGGGCACATGCTGGGTTTCAGCTCGATCCCCAGTGGGGAGGTGTGCAGGAGGCAGCTGATCAGTGATTCTCTCTCACCATTGATGTTTCTCTCTCTCACTCCCTCTCCCTTTCTCTCTGAAATCAATAAAAATATATATTTTTTAAAGATGGAAGAAATAGCAGCACATTTATCATGCTGATGGGAATGATCCGGTGTGAGGGGAAGACTGAGGATGCAGCAGAGGGAGGGAAGAAGTACCAGAGCAGCATCTTCACCATCAGAGGGAGCGGGAGCGAGCGCACAGGTGACAGCCGTCCATAGAGCAGAGACATGTCTGCTTATGATAACAAGGGGAGGGGGTCTATGCACACAGAGGCCTTCAGATGGATGGGAAGGAAGCCTGCGCAAGTCCTCCCGGATGGAGTGTTTTCTCAGTGCAGTAGGAAGCAAGGTCTTCAATGAGAGTAGTTGTATGAAGGGAAATAAAGTACCATCAAGAGAGCAAGTGGTATGTTCAGTTTTAGAAACAGAACTCAAAGAGTGACGGTGATGAGGTCTAGTGGGTAAAAGTCTTTGCTGAAAACACTTATGGTAAATACCAAGGTTCACAGGTAACTTCAACTGAAATTCAAGTAACGATAAACACAGTATGCGATGCTCTAAATTGTCTTTATTTTCTAATATCTACTTACACCACTCTACAAAATGCTCTATACCATTGCTTAAGAAAACTTCTGAAACATTTATGGTGGGAATTAGAGCCCGTTGACCTACCCATCAAAACATCATGCAAACACTTATTTTCTTAGAGGGTATTCAGCTTTGTGGACTTACTAACCTAACAGGTGATGGTACGTTTTTAATTCCACAATCCACAATGAGAATCTAACCCAAGCATATAGTTTTCAAATATAAACAGCATGCATTCCTTTTGGACCATTTCAGATTAAACTGTTTTTGTTTTCCCCAGAAAGTTAAAGCTGGCTCCATCTCCTTTCCCCAGTCACAGCCTCGAGGTCATGGCAGATTTGTAGAGAGTATACTGCCTACTCCTGGGATTCTTTATCCGGCAGTGCCGACAGCTCATGTCCTCACAGGTAGAAGAGAGAATTGGCCAGCTGCAGACTTGGTTCTTTGTGGATGCTCTGTGCCACGAGGAAGGTCAGCTTGTGCGCGTACTGGCACGGTGCTGGGATACTGACTAAGCCCTGAGAGGAGAAAGTAGGGATGGTAATTAAGAGGATAACTCGTTCTTCAAAGCAATTTTCCCCTGAGATTCTTCATCTACTAATTACGCACACAATAGGATATGTTTGTGAGTAAACAGTAACTAGACCCAACCAACAAAGGGCATCTGCTCACTGGACCTTCTGCTCACTGGGCAGAATGGGGCACAGGCCAGTCTGGCTTCATGGCGCTGGGAGCTGGGAGCTACCCCACTCAGGGCTAATCGATGTTTCCTTCAATTTAATGTTCCAAGGGGCTCGGGACAATTCTTGGCCTTGGACTCTGAGAGCAGACCTCGGTCTCATGCACAGGCACACAGAACAGGGCCAGGCCCGTCACTTTCCCACCAGACCTCTGAGCTGGCTTCAACTTCCACTGGAACATGGAAATAACAACATCCTCATTTCCTCCCAGGCTTGTATAAGATAATGGGTGTATACAAAAAGTCCTCTGGGAATGATAAATATTAATGTATTAATAGTTATCGCCATTTCATTTCTGTGACAGACTGGGTTTCTCCCATTGTGGACTTAAGGAGTCAGTCATTCATTCACTCATTCATTCATTTCTCCTTTGTGAGAAAGTCGGGCATTGTGCGAGGTGTAGAGATACAAAGGTTAACTGGGGGAGAATTCCTGGGTGGGAACCTTGAATGTCGGTACTCGAGTATCAGTAAACGCTGTCACTCACCGGCCAGTTGTAGTACAGGTGGCACAGTTTGAATGTAAGTCTCTGCATGTGGTCGGGCTTCAAGCCGTTGTCATCGTAGATGACATTATAGTGGGTGGGATTAACAGTTCCCCGACAGGCGGCTTGGCTGACCAAGTAAAAGTCATACCTGAGGGGGAAAATGGAATGAATGTGAGAAAGAAGGCAAACAAAATAAGGCCAAACTTGAACACACAGCGAATGTTTCATTGAACATCGGTTTTCGAACAGCACTGACCATTCAGGACGCGTGGCTTCTGAATCCACCACGGTGCCAAGTGGTGGGTTCTGTAAGGTGCGGTTCTGTTCCATGAAGAACCGTGGCATGCACCTCTTCCTGACCACAATCACCGACAGCTTGGAGCTTGGAGCCAGAGAGACAAGAAAGTAAGACAGAGAACGGAAACCTAGCCATGCCGCTTCCTATCTTCTGATTTTTAAAAAAAGATAAGCTGATATATAGTAATTCTAAGTTTTGATGGAATAAATGAATAAATTCATTAGAAAAGCACTGCAACAACAAAGAAAAAAAAAATCACCCTCGCCGTAGCCGGTTTGGCTCAGTGGATAGAGCGTAGGCCTGTGGACTGGAAAGTCCCAGGTTTGATTCCGGTCAAGGGTATGTATGTACCTTGGTTGCAGGCACATCCCTGGTGGGAGGTGTGCAGGAGGCAGCTGATCGATGTTTCTCTTTCATTGGTGTTTCTAACTCTCTCTCTCCCTTCCTCTCTATAAAAAAAAAATCAATATAATATATATTTTTAAAAATCAACCTCAATCTCTCCTCCCCCAGAGACACATGCAATTTTTTCAATTAGGTATTGTCCTTATTTGCTGCGGACAGTGTGGGAGGTCCAATCATTTGGCTAGTTTATATCATTTAAGGGGGGAATGGTCAATAGGAAAATGAATTTAAATGAGCACTTCTAAAAAATGATTTTCCAGAATTTTCTTTGGAGACAAGATTCTTTTCCATTAGGAACAGTCCCTCTATTTTCACCTTCAGTCTGCCTCCCAATTTCTGAATAGGAAAGGAAGGACCACAAGTCCCTCTTACTCTTGAAATCATCGCTTTTGAACCATGCAGAACACATTCTTGAAAGGATGGATGGGTGAACCAAATACACATTTGGGCCAAATGCTGAATGACCAAGTGTTAAAGTCAGCATTTGGGAAAGCCAAGTCCAAGTATCAGCCATCATGGAAGGGGCCTCTGGGATGCAAAGGTCACCGTGAAATTTCCCCTTAAGCACTTTAATTATTTAAAATCCATATTATTGTTTCCAATGTTGAGACTTAGACATTGATGTCCTAGTCCAGTGTTCAGCAAACTGCGGCTCGGCAAACTGCGGCTCGCGAGCCACATGCGGCTCTTTGGCCCTTTGAGTGTGGCTCTTCCACAAAATACCGACTTCTGTGCATGGGCCACAAAGTTTCAATCGCACTGTACGTGCGCGCCCACACATGGTATTTTGTGGAAGAGCCACACTCAAGGGGCCAAAGAGCCGCATGTGGCTTGTGAGCCGCAGTTTGCCGACCACGGTCCTAGTGCTAGAAAACTAACTCCTTAGCACCCTCAGCAATCCCTAAATGGCACACTTGTGATTCAGAATAGACACATTCACTTGCCATCAGTGAGCAGGGAGAGATTTGGGCTCTGACAATTTAGATGCAGCTGAAAATGATCTTGCCCTCAAACCATTATGCTCTGCCTCCTAACAGTCACTGATGAGTTTAAGACAGCTCCTCTGTGGCTCTTGGCTGCCACACTTGGTTGATGGAGGTGATGGTATAACCCTACAGACGCCCACTGTGCACTGCTTGGAAGATGCTTTCCGAATATTTTCAGATGATCATCCTCCCCCACTGTCCAGTTCTGATATTTTTCTTGCACTTGACATAATGAATGTTGTACTGAAACATGGAAGCTAGACACGTGGCAATGGAGCAAGGTGCCTGGTGTTGAAGACGATCCGATTTCCACGTGCAGCTTGGTGTTCACAGCACTCACTCTACCTGCCACAGACCTCGGCCACACACCAGTGCCTGTCCTGTGTGTGGATGTGGGCCTTGAGCTTGAAGCCATAGCTTGTTTTTTCCCCATGGCACGTTAACATGTCTGAGCATCTTCACCTGCCAGCAGCCCCGCAAGCTTTCTGCTGCATCTCAGTGTCAGGCTCTGGAGGATGTCCCCCAGGCACCCAAAGCTCACGCCTTCCAGGCTATTTACGTAAGACCATCCTAATTACCCTCCAATCTAGGGGAAATCAATCCATCCAGATGCAGAAACAGAGCAAAACTTAACTGCATAGAAAGGATATGCTGACAAACAGTAATTCTAACAGTTACAAGAAAATGTGCTACTAGTATAATCAGGAGGTGGAGAAAGAACAATGAACTGCATACCTGGTGTTTGAACTTGCTTCTGCCACACTGCTCAGCAGCTGTGGAACTTCATATTCAAGAAGTGTTTGGAGCTGACCATTTCCTACACCATCACGGTACACAATAATCCGTGCGGGCAAACCCTGATTGTACTCGTACCATTTGTTGAGTGCTCCTGCAGAATTTAGTATAAGAAAAGAATGACTCATGCAATGCTAACAAAGAATACAATTCCCATTACATTTTAATGGTTAGCCCTAGCTGGTTTGGCTCAGTGAATAGGGCATTGGCCTGCAGACTGAATGGTTCAGGGTTCGATTCCAATCAAGGGCACATGCCTGGATGGCAGGTTGACCCCCAGTGGGTGTTGTGCAGGAGGTAGCCGATCAATGATTCTCTCTCTCCTTCTCCATTATTCTCTGAAATCAATTAAAAAATATTTAAAATTTTTTTTCAATGTTTAAATAAGTTTGCTGTTTCAGACCACTGTGAAATAGGGTAATACCTAACTTGGGTTGTATTCAATAACATAAAAACAAATAACTTTAGGGAACATCCCTGCCTCTTTGCTATTTGAGGAATCATAATGATTTCTATGGCAAAATAGATTCTTAAGCTTAGCATATTGCAGCAGCAAAATTTTAATATTTAAGCAATAAATTAAAACTTAATTCATGCAACAGACATACAAATTCTTTATATGAACCAAATTAACACTAATTTAGTTTTTTTAAGTCTTTAAATCCTCTCAATAAATACAGACTGGATAAGTTTAGTTCATTTTCTTCTTTAATGAGCATGGGTATGAAAATATAAGGAGAGACCTTGGCTGTTCCTCTGGAAGTGTCTCCACAGGGACTCACCCAATTAGATTTCAAGTCTCACTGACAGTATACATTTTATACACATTTCCACCCACTCTAACTAGAAATCACCAAAAGGCAGAGACCAGACAGTAACTCCCACCCAACAGAAACTTTTCATAACCACTAAAAAAAAAGACCGGGTTTTGAAGTGAGAAGACAGTAAAAATATCATAAAGATGCAGTAATTCTTGTTGTGTATATATTGTATATACAATTTGTATAAGTTTATCATCCAGGAAATTAACTTAAATTAACTTTAAGAAGACGATCATACATGTAAGTCCATTCCCAACACTTATCACCAAATTCACTTTCTTAGTAGAAAAAAACTCTTTAAAAACCCCCAAAGTTGCCGAAACCGGTTTGGCTCAGTGGATAGAGCGTCGGCCTGCGGACTGAAAGGTCCCAGGTTCGATTCTGGTGAAGGGCATGTACCTGGGTTGCGGGCACATCCCCAGTAAGAGGTGTGCAGGAGGCAGCTGATCGATGTCTCTCTCTCACCGATGTTTCTAACTTCCTATCTCTCTCCCTTCCTCTCTGTAAAAAATCAATAAAATATAAAAAATAAAAATAAAAAATAAAAACCCCCAAAGTTTATAGATGGGAAAACGTAGCTCGGGGAGGGAGTGAGGTGCACACACACCTTTCAGGAATGACAACGCCAGACACAGGCCTGGGCTGGTAGGGAACTCCGGGTCCCTCTTTTCACCGGTCACACTGGGAAGAGGGCACCTTCCTCACCTGCTGTCTTCCCCATCTTCTCCTGCTATGCCACCCTGCCTGCTAACATCCCCAAAGCTTCGCTCCTGTTTCTACACCTAACACTGCTCTATCGTAATCCTTGTTCCTCTGCAGTAGGTTTCTTTTGGCCTTCAAGCTGCTTGCGAGAGCCACCAGCAGCTACAAACTCTCCCTCCTCCTGGCTTTCCGTTTATCACACACCGAAGACAATGTGAATTCCACAGTCTGACTGTTAGAGTCAGGACACAGCTCTGGGGATCTGCAACTGGCTGCCCACTGACTCCAGTAGGCTGGGGGAGCAC